GAGCGTGTTGCACACATGTTGCAGTGCTGGCGTACCATTGTGTTATGACAGTTCTTTGGGAAAATTTTAGGCTGAAGTTTGGAAAACTGATTTTTAGCACTGCTGAAAAATATAATTCCAAAAATCAGAACTTAGTAGATTATTGTGCTCGGGTCAGAAATTTGTGTTGAATAAGAAGTGCACTTTTAAGAAACCATCATCAGTCAATTCCAAGAACAAACTTCTTCATTCTTAAGTTAGAAGATTTCAGTATTTCAGTAATATATAGTACTGATTCTGTTGAAGCTAACAAGCTTTGCTGTTATCTTGAATAGATCAAGGTCTAGTAACTCTGGACTGTACACAGCGACTTTCATCTAGAAACTCTGGCCCCCAAGCTGTACTTGAGTACACTTACAGGGCCTCACAGTGTCAGAGATCAAAGTGGTAGAAAGGCTAAAAAATATATATACAAAATTGTTAGTAAGGATCTTGTTTGCAAACACCTCCCCCCCCGCCCCCTTTCCCCCCAAAAAACAAATTAACAAAAACACCCCACCAAAAAACTAGCTGGTACTTTTCCAACACTTTTGGCAGAGGAACAATTACAATCCTACACTTATTCCTACACATCTGTTTGTTCATTTGTTCTACATTTAGTGCAGTTGCAGTATATGGCTGTAAGCAGATGTGTGGGAGTCACCAGATGTTTTCATGTGACTAATCCCTTAGTTTCTTGTATCAGATGTTATAAAATTGTATCAGTGTGCTTATATAATGTTATTGGACAGTAATATTTACTTACAGGTAAATATTTGGCTAATACTAGAATTGATTCATGCAGATCGCCCTTCCTCCTCATCCTAAGTCTGACGCTGACTGAATTGCAATGAAACTGCCATGGGGTTTCAAGGTTTGTTTCCCCCCCACGCCCTGAAATGTATGAGTCTCAATGATTTTTTTGCCAAGGAGGCAGAAAAGATGAAGATAGGCTTTCTCACAGTGGTCATGGGGCAGTGTTTTTGATCTGATTTTAACATAAAGTAGATCTGGGTTCAAGTCCCTGCTTATATATTTGATTCAAAGCAGAACACATCATTAAGCATTCTGGATCTGATTGGATCACTTGCCCACATTCATAGAATCATAGAATCGTTTAGGTTGGAAAAGACCTTTAAGATCATCCAGTCCAACCATTAACCTAACACTACCAAGTCCACACTAAACCAGTCAAGGGTAGACTAGACTAAACCATGTCCCAGAGTGCCACGTCTACCTGTGTTTTGAAAGCTTCCAGGGATGGTGACTCCACCACCTCTCTGGGCAGCCTGTTCCAATGCTTGACTACCCCTTCCATGAAGAAATTTTTCCTAATATCCAACCTAAACCTCCCCTGACACAGCTTGAGCCCATTTCCTCTCGTCCTATCACTAACTACGTGGGAGAAGAGACCAACACCCACCTCACTACAACCTCCTTTCAGGTAGTTGTAGAGAGCGATAAGGTCTCCCAGCACTGATATTTCACACACTCTTTTCCTTCTAAATTTTATAGTCCAGAATGCCTTCTGAAAACAGGTATTTGGAAAAAAACAAACAGAGAATTTGTTCCGCTGCAGTGCAAAATGGGGGAGGGGGGAAAACCTTGAAATCTCTGCAGTTTCTATGAAACAACACTGCTCAGTTCCGTCTTTTAATCCTTGTGGATCTTCTGAGGCTACTTTATTACTTAAGTCGAAACCCTAATTTTAAAGTGTGATATAATCAGTAAGAATTGTATCTGTTAGTATTCCGTTGTTACAAATATATATTTTTTTTACAAGCTCTCTTCTGCTGTGTAAGAAAAGCAAACCTGAGTCATCCCACTGATTCAGTATCCTAAATTCACCATGGGCTGATCAGTGGTAAAAGATGAGCTCTTCCACAACTCCTACAAATGGTAACAGATGAATCGCTTCTTGAACAGCTACCGTCAGGATAATGTTAAAAGGAGGATTTAGACATTTTAACGTTTATTAATTTAGGCATTTAATTTTTTGACTATGCGTTGACTTTGTCAGTTAAACATACATGTCTGTATTTGCTCTCTACACAGTAGAAATTTATGCTTTTAAAACCAGTTTTGGGTTCAGTGCTTCAATGACCACTATTCACTTTTTTTTTCACTACACCTTGTTCCAGAAGGGACTTACTGCTTTATAAACAACTGTATCAGTAAGGAAATCCATGGGGAGAATGACAGTGTAGTTAGGAAAAAATGTCTGCACAGAAAAAAAAGTGTTTCCTTTGTCTGCTGGCATGCAAGCCTGCAGGCACACATATATTCTGTTGCAATTATGGTCTCTTGCTGCCATAATAATGCCTGAACAAAGCCTGCAACTGTGGCTTAGCTGTTGTGTACAAGATGCTGCTTTATGATCAGCTGTCATAGCAACACCTCATTAGAGACTGTACAAAATGAGAGGCATCAGAGAGTGGTCTTACTGCTTGTCTGCAGCAAGTCTGTGGTTTAAAGGTGAATACTGATATTGGAATTGACACTTTGAGTGAAAGTGGGGCAAAGATTTTCCAACGAGGTATTAGCAATTAAAAATGCTAAAATTTCTGTCTAAATCTTAACATTTCCCAGCTGCTACTGTACCTTCTAATGTTTTCTATACCAAATATCAGGAGGCAAACCCTGTTCAAGTGGTGGCTTGCAGGCCACCTCTGGCCAAAAAGTGAATAAAAGTGGTCTGCTAGTGGGGAGCTCGAGTGAAAAGAAACTAAGACATGTAAGAAGAATAGCTGGTATGTCCTGCTGACTGCATCGCCAAACTTCTTGAGCAGCGCAGCCAGGGATGATCTGTCAAATCCAGTTCTAACATGCGCTGCAGCTGTTCATCACAAACCTCCTACAGACAAGGGCATACATGCAAACCCTTCATCTTTATCTTCTGCACCAGGGCTTCCCTAAGGACGCTCACATTCTGCTTATGTCCCAGCATCCCACAGAGTAAGATGCTTCTCAACTACCTCATCATGTTTTCCAGTCTGAGTTGGCCTAGATTGGTGTCCTGGTTTCGGCTGGGATAGAGTTAATTTT